ACAAGCCGTTTCTACGGCGGGACTCATTCAGAGCATTTTGAAAGAAGTGTCACGCTTGACTACAGATGAAGTGTTCCTGACTTGCAGCATTTTGGTCACCGCGGAATTTTGTACGGAAACGACCTGCCAATTGCAGGACAAGCTTAGGGAGAAACTGAAAGATACTGAAAAGCGTGATAAGGTAAAGAAGATAAATTTTTGGTTTCATTATTTGATGTGAACCCTGATTTTCAGTTAGATCTGAGTGACGAGGAGACGAAATTTACGGCCGTTATCAACAGATGTGTTCATATCCTGGTGCAGGATCTGGAAGGCGCTTGCCAGTCTGCCCTGCAGGCAATGACAAAAATGCAGTGGGCATCGGTTGATAAAGTTGGCGACGATAGTCCGTACGTGCGGCTGATGAAACAGCATCTGCACACGTGCGTGTCGCAACTTCGAGATTTCCTCACGAATTCCAGGAAGTACTTCACTCAGATTTGTTTGAAGTTCGTCAACTCACTAATTCCGAAATTTCTTTCCGCATTGTTTCAATGCAAACCAATCAGTGTCGCCGGTGCCCAGCAGCTCCTACTGAACACTACCTCGCTGAAGACTGAACTCTTGAATTTGCCGAACGTTGACTCAGTCGTTCCCAGGAAGCCCCCGGATGCATACTTGAAAATTGTTGTCAGAGGCATGACTAGGGCTGAAATGATACTGAAGGTAACGTAGGTTTCGACTGATACTTTAGGCTTCTTATACGATGTACGCAAACTTGGAACATCGTATGTTTCACCGTATGTTATCTACAGCTACATTCTGAGTGCCTACGTTGCACAGTCGGGGAACGATTAGCGTAAAGGATCCATGTCAGGGTAAACGTCGTTAAAGTTTTTTATTTCCATGCAAGCTGGCAGAAGGTGTCCATCTATTCACGTGACACTTTGTTCTCTGACTTCTTTATGTATTTACCTCAGTTTGTCCTTGAGCTCCTCATGGCACCGTTTCATTAAGAAATCTACATTCTGAACAGACATTATTTTCTTTGGCACGTGCTTAATGAATGATAGTTCACACTACATGTATGGTTTTGTAATGTTGTCCAGACTTCCTTTACATATCGTAACTAAAGATGTCCTTTGTCGTATCATTTTATCTGTAAATTAAATAATTATTCTGAATATTTAATAAGCGATTGTTAGTTTTTCTCTTCTCTATCTTTCCCATTAGCACTAAGACTCTCTGTATTCAGTAGACTGATTAGCTCGTTTGCATGTTGCTGATCCCGTTAATAATAAAACAAAACATGGTTTAAAGTAGACTATCTTCCGCCACGATCTTTTGCCTTAAACAGAAGTCTGTGGCTTTCAAATGGAAAGGTCGGTTCGTAATTTATGGATCTGATAAACTTGTCTGTTACCCTGTTTTGTTATTGTGTAAGTCATCAAGAGCGAATATAATGAACAGTTATGCTAATATTTCTGTGTACACTATTTGCAAAATTGAATTTATGCTTAAACATTGATAATAATTTTGTTGGACTAAGATTCAGTATAACATTAGAAGTTAGTATAAGTCAGTTTTTGTATTTACTACACAATTAGGTCCGTTTTTTCTTCATTTCGTAAAAGTTTTGCGTAACTGAAGTTTTCTCTTCGGCCCTAGAATTTTGAATAAAGAGACTTTTCTGAATTTAAAGTCATTTTTTAAGAGCGAAAATGAGAAATTATTGGACTTGCTTTTAAATTTTGAAGTTCTTTTAAACCAAGTTTTTCCTACACCTCTAGTGGAAAAAATGATGCAAGATGCGTCTGCCACTGCGTATGCTGTAAGATCACAGAGCCATGATCTGCTTAAATGCCCTTTCCCCACGAGCTACTAGGATTAGGGGGGCCTTGCAACAGGCCGTGAGATCTTCTTCGGAGGAGTCATTCAGCATTCTTCCTACATCGATTTGATTATTCGATAATTATAGTTTATTTTTAGTTGGTGTTTACGCAGTTCAGTAGTCCAAAGGAATTTGTCGAACAATATATGGAGTTTTTACCCCAGTCGGACGTCATGGAGTTTCAGAAGGTGTTAGAAATGAAGTCAGTGCGTCGAACTGACCAACTGCCATATGTGGAATTGTATCGCAAGCGTCTGTCGACGATGCCAACCAGTGATGAAGCCCCATTTCAACCGAAGGTTTCAGAGGATTTGTATTCAGCGCATCCTCTACTGACTTTGCCAAAAATATATGTTGATTCACACATCAAGCGTTTGGAAAAGTTGATGAAGACGCATCTCTGACGTTTCTTCATTTATTACCACTTGGCTGGTCACCGAAATGACCTCAGAAAAAACATCATGATCGAAATTGTTTCTATATTCGAAATTTGTTTCATTCACAAAGACTGCTACCTGTTCTGTTTGCCATATGGTTATGAGTTTTGTTTTTTAGATAGGTATACGTTTGTTTAATTTATGCTG